TCTATTACTTAGTTAATAATGTTATTTTCTTACTTTTGCTTATAGAAAAAAAGAATAAAAATGTTTTTGTAACCTTCAAGAGTATTCAAGTAGAGTGAGAGTTTCTGTTAATTTCACCTTGATTTTAGGACTTTACATGTATTTGGCTAATTGTATATGATAGTTTATTAGTGATGAATGTTCGTGTTTGTTGATTTACTTTCCCTCATGTTGATGTCCCTTTGTGAGAACCTCTTTCTCTATAGAAGCCTAGGATTAAGCTTTAAGGTTTCCTAATGACCTTCTTAGATGCCTAGAGATGGAACTCACCCACATAGATCTTCAAACCAATTCTACATTTACTTATGGTTTCATAAAGCTAAACCAAAATCCTCCACTATTGGTTGAGATGATGAGAATTGAAATTGGTAGAAGCCCACACTGAATTTCTATAGGTGGAGGAGACCTTAGGCAACCCATAGTTCCTAGAGTCCTAAGAATCCTTGTGATGACCAATTGACCAACCCTACATCCTCTTTTGTCTGAAATAAACCCATTGGGTATGAGACAAATTTCAGTTTAAATAAATGTTTGCCTTTTAGACCAAAATCTTAAACTAAGAAAAAACGTAGACTAAAACATCAAAATTTAAAACCAAAAAAGAAGTTGTTAAAATCAAATGTACTTAATAAAAAATTAAAATAAAATAAATTTATGAAACCTCAAAACACCAAACACGACCAAATATTGCTAGTCAACTTAACCTCATACTAAAATCACTATGATCATAAAGTTGAATTTAGATCAAACCTAATTAAAACAAAAAAATAATAAATTAAATTGATTAATCTAATTAGTTAGATTAGTAAGTTGTAAGGAGGTTATATGGTAGGCCCAACAATCTAAAGACAAGCCCACCATCCAAGGCCAAAACTTAGCAAAAAAATTTTTGTGCAGACTCCTGACGTAACTCTACTTGTGGCGCAAGGTAGTCCTGAGTTATTTTCAGATTATTTCTGGGTTATTTTCAATAATTCCAAAAGAATCCAGAAATAACCCGCGGTCTTTATTTTTGTGTTATTTTGGGATTATTGAAAATAACACAGAAATAACCTAAAAATAACTCAGGAATAACCTACACCGCACGTAGAGGTACGTCAAGTGTCTGGATAGAAAATGTGCGCCAAACTTAGGCCTAAGCCTTGTAACCCTAAAAGGTAAACCCATTACTCACATGACCCAAATAATGTCTCGTGTCACTGCAGCACAAATAAGAATTAATTAAAAGTAAATTAAATATAAAAAAATTAAAAGTCAAGCAATGCACACTTAATAAAGAGAGCCACCAAGTGTCGCCTTGGACAAACCAACCTAGATCAAACTAAAGGGGAGTTATGGATGACCAATATTGAGTCAAACCACCAAATATAAGCCCTCACCAATTAGCTCTAGGACTAGCCATGCCACTCCATGGACATTGGAGCACACAATGACCAATGCATCAAAAATGGGGAAAACTTCTTTACCTCTACCCAAGCCATCTTTATTCCTCTACCCAAGCTTTGAAGATCTATTAAAGGTCCCAAGCATACCAAAGCCTCTCCCATGTCAATAAAAAGACCCCAACCCGAGAGTCTCCACACACACTCAAGCTTTTTAACCAACCACCCAACCCCTTAGCCCTCAATAACAAAAGGCCTCCCACAGACTAGAGAAGTTCATCCTCATCATCTTCAAGCCACCTTCACCACCCCATTGTCTTAATTCTCTCTAAAATCCATTGCTTCTTACGGCCTTGATGCCAACCTCTCCAAAACTTTAAATTAACCCTCCCGAAAGCTTTACATGGTCCTAAAACCATTTTCTCAATCAAAATCCTTCAATCTTAAACCCTTCATCATAGTTTGACACTAACCTGCTCCCCCATTTGGTCTAGCTGATAGCTAGGATCAATTTCACCTCAAATCAGAGCAAGGAGGAAGCATGCACAACCAAGGCGGTCCTTTCCCTCAAGCTCAATTGAGGCCTCAATTTTGGGAGAAATCAATGGCTCAAATTCTTCATTATTTCCATTAGTTTGTCTTTTTATGATCAGGATGAACAATGCATACCAACTTAACCGTATAGATAGGTTCGCCCATCTTATGAAGCTTTAGAAATAAACCCCAAGCGATTTGTCTAACTCTAGCATAAGATCTTAGGGTTGAACATGGACGGCTCTTTATCCTATAAGGATGATGAACAGATGTCTTTTGTTTCCATGTATTAGAAACAAATGGTGGAGATCAAACCAAATGGTAGAACCGCAGAGAGGACCTCATCAGATTAGGGCCACCTCAGTCTCTTGCATGGAAAGCAGAGCGAACAACGGGGCGATGTGTGAACATTTGATGGCTTTGAGGATGATGTGGCACTGATTGGCTTAAGTGGGAAAGTCCAATTTTTTCTAATTAATTAAATCCAAAAAATGCATATAAACTTAAAAAATTCATGACTTAACAAATAAAAATCATTAAAGTAAAATAAAAATAACTATAAATTCAGTGAGCAGAGGAGAAAATAATAGAAATTAAAATGAGATTAATTAGATTATATTTAATTTTAAATTAATTAAATTCCCCAAAGAGTTTTTAATTATTAAAAATCAAATACAAGACCTTAAACTATGAAAGTTTGAGGGAAAAATTTCCTTTGTCCTTAGGAATCTCCATTGATTTTTCTAAGAATAGAGGTTCTGCCCTAACACCGAAAGTTTTAATTATTTATTAAAATTATAAATAATTTGAAAAATAATTATAAAAATTAAAATATTTGTAAAAAAAACTTGTTTCAAATGGAAATTAATAAGGAAGGTAAGGACAGTATACCCACATAATAAATTTATTATTTTTCATCTTTGAAAACTTAAAAATGAAATTAACATATTAAGGGTAAATTTATGCGATTGCAAATTTTGCAATTTTATCCCTAATTTTCTTCTAAACTTCATCAAATATGAAAGTTAATTTAGAAAATCTTAGGAATACGTCCTAATGAAAACTTTAAATTAAATTATCAATTAAAAAGGTTAATTTCATAATTATCCTTTTAAATATGACATTACCTTAATAAACAAAACTTAAAATTTCACTTAGGTCTAATCCATCCAAGACCTAAGCTAACCCGAAGTTATCATAGAACTTAACTTAGATCTAACCCAATTTGGACCTAAAACAATTCAAACTCTAAATTCAACTTAGTTCTAACAGAATTTAAACCTAACTCAAACTAATTTACTTTAAACTTAAATTTGGTCTAACCCAACTTAACTCAAATTTCAAACTTTGGTTGGGTCTAACCAAATTAAGACCAAACTCAACTCAAACTTTAATTTTAACCTAGGTCTAGCCCAACTTAAACCTAACTCAACTCAAATTTTAAAAGTAACTCAAGTCTAACACAAGTTAGACTTGACTTAATTAAAAACAAAAACAAGCTTTAAACTTAACTCAAGTCTAACCCAAGTTAGACTTGACATAACCGAAAACTAAACCTAGCTTTAAAACTGAACTCAAGTATAACCCAACCTAGACTTGACTTAAGCAATTTCTAAACTTAACCTATAACTTAACTCATGTCTAATCTGACTTAAACTCAAACCAACAAATTTCTAACTTAACTCAAAACAAACCTAAATACAAACTCCAAACCAATTCGAACTATCCCAACCTAACATGGGCTAACCTAATTTAACTAAAATTAGCATGGATCAACCCAACCTATCTTGTGCTAACCAAAGTCAAACATAAATCAACTTGGGTCAACCCACCTTAACTTGGGCTAACCTAAATCAAATGTAAACCAACCTAAATTCAAACTTAAACAAACCTGGATCAACTTGACCTAACCTGGAATAACCCAAAATAAACTTAAACAAGCCTCGATCAACCTAGCCTAATCTAGGCTGACCCAAATCAAACTTTTGTCAACTCAGCCTAATTAGGATTAATCTGAACCACGCCTAAACCTATTTGGGTTACCAACTTAACCAGGGCTAACTCAAATTAAACACGAACCAACCTAAATTAACATCTCATCTCATGAACAAATAAAGTTAGGGAGTGTTTGACTTCTCACAAGAGAATAAAAGCACACATGACTTTTAAAAAACACAAACTCTGGAGATAATATGGGCTGAAGTGCAACTATTGTAATAAACATAAAAGACAACATAAAATACACGCTAAAAATCACTAGAACTTAAACTTCAACTATAAAACACATTTGAAAAGAGACTTTGAAGGAGGTAACCCATGGCTACGAACAAAGTATCTCTCGGTCACTTGTGACTAATCCAACCACAAACCCCAATGACCCGGGGAAGATGGAATCATGGGATCTTGGTCGGGTTGTTTCAACATCTAAGAATAAATCACCAAATTTGGTCAATTAAGAAGTCTTAAGCTATCTAAAATTTTCAACAACTTAAAATCCATAAAAGACATTAAAAGTTAAATGAAAACCAAGTAAACAAAAATCACTGAACATTACTTTAACCCTACTACCCATGTCTATGAAGATCTCTTGCATGCGCAGCTCATGATTGTTGAAAAGAATTTTTCAGTCGGAATAAGCTTAAACGCCCCTATATACTAGGTAGATCAAGGAACCTGATAATCTTGAGACGACAGAAAACCATGGGCATCTTGACCGGATTGTCCTAAATAAAAAGAATAATAATTAACACATTAAATAATAAAAATAAATACATTCATTATTTTTTTTTTACATTAAAATAAAACCTTTGACCCATCAATTATTATCACCAAGCTTTGAATCATACATCTAGTGCTTCATATCATATTAAAAATATCATTACTATTTACTTCTTAAAATTTTATTATACATAAGTTTATGATGTGGGAAATATTATAAATATAAATATAAAATCTTACTCAAAATATATAAATACAAAAAAAATTATTTGCGATATGTACATAAATTTTACTTAGTTTTAACATTCTTAATAAGAACTCCTTTTCGCTCCATTTATTTATTTTCATGATAGCTAGCATAATCGTTTACATTATTCCATCATGTATTTTTAAAAGAAAAAAGAAAAAACCCACGTGCCCTTTAATTAAAAACTTCAAGGAACCGAGACACCGCTTGTCTCGCCTCAAATCTACCTCCCCCGCCTATATATAATCCGCTTCACCCGACTTCCCTATGAAGTCTCTACTCCGACTCACATCAACCGTACCCTCACCGGCGGTGCCAAAACCCCAATACCCCGATGCAGAGCCTCGACTCCATCCGGCGCCACCTTCTTGACGACTCGGAGATGTCGTCCTCCGCTGTAACCGCACCTCCCCAAACCGTCTATCACCGGACTTCCAGTTTCGGCCGCCTAGTCGCCGACCACTGGATCGATCTCCCGTTCCGCCCAGCGTCATTGTTATCTACCTCACCCCACACGATGCCTTTAGCCACGGCTGGCTTCCCAGTGCTTGCCACCCAGCAGCCCCTGTTCCGCCTCTTCCGGCTAAACCCGATTCGAGGGAGATGGAAGCGCCGGCAAAGGGGAAACACTACCGCGGCGTTAGGCAGCGGCCGTGGGGAAAGTTTGCAGCAGAGATTAGGGATCCAGCAAAGAATGGAGCTAGGGTTTGGCTGGGGACATTTGAGACCGCGGAGGAAGCAGCGCTTGCTTACGATCGCGCCGCTTATAGGATGCGCGGGTCTCGCGCACTTCTCAATTTTCCGCAGCAGATCAGTGTGGAGGCCGATTCGCCATCGCCGGCAGCGGCGAAGCGAGTTTCGCCGGAGCGATCGACTTTGTCTTTGTCATCTTCGTCTTCGTTGCCGATCTCGCAATCGGAGGGATCTACTAAGAGAAGAAAGAGAGGGGAGGCGGTGGCGAGCTTGAGGCTGGAATCTCCGGCGACGGTCATGGCATATCCGGATCCAGCGGCGGTGCAGTTGCCTGCCCAGGCTCAGACCGGCCTGGGGTTTAGGGGTAGAACGGTCCAGTTACAGGGAGGTGCGGTGGATAAAATTACGCCTGTAGGGCAGCTGCTGGTTAGCTGAAGGGGATATTGGGAGAATTTAATGGCGTGCTGTAAATGATTGAAAGTATTGGGAGCAAAAAGAAAAAATGGCTGGATAATGCTATCGAGATATTCTGTGAACCTATACAGGATTGGGTGACGTTCATTTGTGCCGTCATAGTTTGGACGTACAAAGATATTTCTCCATCGAGTTTTTTTATTCTTTACTTGAAAACAACATTAGTTTTCTTTTTTTTTTTTTTTTTTTAAGTTAATAGGCTACCAACAAATTTTCATCCGCACGAATTTCAAAGCATGACACGAAGCTCGAGATAATATTTTGAGCAAAACACATTCAAATCTTGATAAAAAGCCATATATAGAGCTCTGATTTCAACAAACTTATAGTAAAACTGATCAGCTCAATGAGACAGACTTAATCATATAAAAACTAGGCAAACCAAGCCCAAATCAAATCATTAAATCACTATTGGAAGATCTCTGGACATATTTGGAAGCTCAAATGGATATCGAAACTGGTAAAGTTATAGCTGAATCGAGCGTCTCGATAAGACGAATCCAACGAGTCCAAGATGACACAATTTTGACATCTTTAAGACACTCAAATGTCCATTAAACGTTGTATGATCGGAGAAAGCTCTATGGATCGTCTGATCAAATGGGTTCATATACTTGTATTAATGACACACATAACATTATAAATAGACCTCTACCCCTCTTATGAGGGGGGTGTTGAAGCCTAGAGAGATAGCCTGAGGCCTTGAGGAGGAGTTGCAGCTCAGCATCACCGCTGACCAACGTCGATCACCGTCGACCGCCGCCGACCTTTATCAACCACTGCCGACCGTTGTCAACCACCACCAACTGGTCGCCTTCAGTCAATGTTATAATTTGGAAAATCTAGTAACAATTTCTCGTCTGTAAGATAAGAGCTCATCACTGTGATCCATTTGCCAACAATGACATACGTGGTCAACAGTTTGTGCAGCTCCCTACTGCAACCCCTGCAGCCTATGGACGTCATTTATACTCGCCCTTACGACCTATGTGGTCCAAAGTTTGTGCAACTCTCAACTCCGGCCCTCCGCAGCCTACGCACTTCATTCATACACGCCCCAACGGCCTATGTGATTCACAGCTCGTGCAGCTTCTGACTCCGGCGCTCGCAGTCTACGGACATCATTCATACTCGCCCCAGCAACTTAAGTGGTTCACGACTCATACAACTACTTACTCCAGCTTCCGGGACCTACATACGTCATTTATACTCACGCCTAAATGCTACGTGGTTCATAGCTCATGCAGCTCCCGACACCGGTCCCCACGATCAATGAATGTCACCAGTACTCACCAAAACGGTCTACGTAACCAACTACTATCAATGTGATTTATAGTTCCAACAACTGCTTACTACGGTTTCTCTAGGCAATCAATGCTTCTGAAGCAACAATCTATAACACTCATGACGGACTACTACCTCCACAATAATCAACAATGACTCTTGCAACCTGCTATCACTAAAAACTGCAGCCAGATTATAGTTATATCACTTTTTAATTCAATCTTCCCTAATTTAGGAGAAGATTATAACTTTATACTTGTCATTTGTAGTGGATTATTTTAACTGGGCAAAGCCCTATGATTTTTTCCCCTTTCAAGGGTTTTCCACGTAAAAAGTTGAGGTGTCTCCTCTTGCTTACTTTTCTTTTTTTATCTGTGTGTGCTGAATTCTCGTGCAATGCTAAGACAATAATCAATTACTCTATCATCGCGAATTTTCTAGCACGCATCAGCTTGGCATCATATGTGGAAAGCAAAGTCCCATTCGTTGTTGTCTTCAACTCTAAGACATCGAGCCCTTACTTCCTTCCTCAATGATGTACTTCATCGAACTGGCGAAGAAACCTCCTTTGTGTCTTGAACATCAACTCTGAAACTTTCTTTAATGTCGAGGGCAACCTTCTCTGCAGTCTCGAAAGATCGTTAATGTCAACTTCCCAAGCATGATTGTAGTACATTTGTCTTCTCACACTTTATTCAGACATAAAGTATTTCACAACTTTTTCCAGACTGTGGGGCAACGTTCACTGCAGTCTCGAAGGGTCGTTCACATTTACATTTCGGGCACGACTATGGTGGGGATGTCATCCCATATTTCATTCAAATTAGAATTCTTCAAGAATCTCTACTGAAGTGGGAGGCAATTTTCATTTCAAATAATGCTTCCTTGGTGCCCCATCATTGTACTGGAGTTCTCCTTCAAAAAAATCAAGAAGCTGGTCTCTTCAAGGCTAGAAACATGGGTTGTTTTATAAGCTCTTGTGGAAAACACATTCGTCAGATGGACAATAAGATTCAAAAGTAAAAAATAACAAATTGTCAAACATTTTTATTAAATATGATTATAACCATATTTCCAAGAAAATATAAGGTCCATTGCGACTAACGCCCTAATCTCGAGAAACACAGAGCAACTCTGACACCTCATTCTAGGCTTAATCTATCCCAGGGAACTCAATTTGACCTCTTCTATTACAAACTGCAGTCGTCAAGCAAAAGCTTCGACATACAGCCTTGGATAGGTAAAAAATCCTTGGTGGATTTCCTTCGACTTCTATTACAGGCTACAGTTGTCAAGCAAAGGCTCCAACATACAGCCTTGGATAGGTCAAAAATCCTTAGTGGATTTTCTTCGACCTCTTCCATTACAGGCTACAGTCGTCAAGCAAAGGCTTCGACATATAACCTCGGATAGGTCAAAAATCCTTTTTGGATTTCCTTCGACCTCTTCCATTACAAGCTACGGTCGTCAAGAAAAAGCTTCCACACACAACCTTGGATAAGTCAAAAATCCTTGGTGAACTTCCTTCGACCTCTTCCATAACAAGTTACATATTGTCAATCAAAAGCTTTAACCAAGAACCTAAGATAGGTCAACCATCCTCATTGGATTTCATATGACTTTGTTACAGGTTAATACCATCGAGCATCTCCGATTACACAACTCAAAACTGGTCTTACATCCTTAATGGATTCTCCTCTCACCCATTCCTCTGAAAGTCAAGCCCAAAAAACAATACCATATGAGAAGCTACCATGTCACTGGAAGACGAGCCAAAGAGTTAAGTTTTGATGAGAAGTAAGTAGTGGGCAGGGCCCTCACTATAAAGACTCCAGCGGAACAAGTGGTTGACAACATATCCACTGAAAGACCTCAAAATGTTACAAGCCTCAAAAGGCATTGGTAATTAAAAATCTCATAAGGTTATGAACCTTAGAAGGTATCTGTTCATTTCAAAACCCTACAAGGCATAAGCATAGGAGGACACAACCTCGGAAGGCACGAGCCTCAAAAGGTACGAAATTCTTCATTCTATAAAATGTCTGTGCTAACTTTAATTACAGAATTTTATACAATTAATAGGCCACAACAACCGTGGAAGCAACAAAGAAATACACTGTTATCATCTAAAAATTTCACATCAGATGATTAAAAATACTTCAAAGGCCAACATATACTTGTATAAGGGCTACAAAAAATCAATTCATCTTTGATTAGAGTCAATATCACCTCCCCAAAACTCTAACACTACTGATGATCGTTAGGGGGTCTCCAAATATCACCACCACATAAGCATGAAAATCTTCCTGTCAAAGTGCGAAAGGAATGTCACAACAGTTATTCATCACCTCCAGAATTTGCAAGAGGCGACATTGGAATCCTGCAGAATTCACAACACCAACGAGAAAAAAGATTCCATTGCTTGCCTGCTACGCATGACGGTGATGAATTTTCTCTTCGCTTCGACGAGAAAGAAGATTTTGTGCCCGCCTTCTACACGGGTTAGGAAGGACTTTTGTCTTCGGCGCAATGCGAAAGAAGATCTCATTGCTTGTCTACTACACAAGTTGGGCATTCTTTCATCCTCGCCGCAACATGAAAGAAGATCTCATTACTTTCCTGCTATGTAGAATGAAGATGATTTTTCTCTTCACCACTATGATAAAGAAGATCTCGTAGCTTACCTACCACACAAGACGGGAACAAATTTCGTCTGCGCTACAACTCTGTACCGCAACTCTTCGCCGCAACTCTGCACCGCAACTCGTCACCGTCGCTTACCTATCAAAGAAAAAAGAAGGCTTATCTTTGAAAAGATTATCAGACCAAAAAGAGAACTGTTAGAACAATTAAATGCTTATCGAAGCAATAAGAAAATCATCAACGCATTATGAAGAAAATAATAATAATTTTGTTTAATAAAATTATATATATATCCATCATGT